TACGTTAGATTAAAATAAACAACAAAACTTTGATTTTTACGAAACTTCTAGATTCATATACACTCGTACCATGCGCAGTTCCCAGCCAAACAAGGTAAGCTCAAAAATAAGGAATATTTATACGAGATTTTGTAACGGGCAGGGGCGGACCCAGGAAATCTGTCTTGGGGGGTTCAAAATATTTTTTGGGAGGCGAAAATTATTTTTTGAGGGGGTAAAAATTATTTTTCGTATATATATACACTAGAATTTTTTTTTGTTGGGGGGCGGTTGCCCCCTGGGTCTGTACTACGGTCCGCCCCTGGTAACGGGCATCTAGAATCCTCTCTTACGGGTATATAAATACGTGTGATCGGCTAAGCCCTAGCTGCGTACAAACTTACACCCGCATGAAGCGTCGCCGGTCGCCTATATATGGCGTGCGATCCACAAGCAAACTGCGTAACCTGCTGTCTCCGACTAGCTACATATACAAGCCATAGCTACGCCCTGCGAAACCATCGTATCAACCAGTCAATCGACGGAGAAGATACCACACCGAAAAACGGTGTTGCACAGCCAGACTGCTCGTTGAAGAAAAGGGAATCGTCGTACTGTATCACCCGGACTCCAGACGGAAGGGTAACTAAGTGCGCCGTCAAAACTCGAAGACAACAAACCCCGTCGTACGCCGAAGTGACGGAACTCACAAACGACATAGAAGAAGGGCCACCGCACCAGTTCCGACGACCATCTCTGGGAAGGGCGCTGCCAGAAGACTACACCATCAGCCAATCACCGTGCTATCGTCACTTTCCGTCGGAAGTTATCTGCGTCGCCGGCACTACGTGAGGATGACGAAGAGGACAGCTACAATAAAGTGTACGTAATCTGCATACTCCGTATTTGTTTGGGCTGCCAACAATTGGGCCGGGTATCATTTGGCTTAATCGGACAGATTATGTAGAACTAAAATTGAATAAAATAAACAAATAATTATGGCCTATTATTTAGATTGATAATTTGTGTAATAAGAGAATCATAAGAGGAGCGAATTTATAAATAAAGGGGAGAGGATCTTTACCATGTTGATAGGATATTGATTTTTGAATTTTGATAGAAGGAGATATGGTTGAGGAACAAAGTAGAAGAGTTAACTAAGGGTGTTTGGAGTTTGGAGGTAAGTTTCACTGTACCCAATATTATACCTTTTACCTTGTCATTATTTCAAATGTTTTTATGTGCAAGTTTGAGAATTATATTGGTGTATTAAATTGTAGTGAATTTAATTATTCTTTTGAATTGTTTGTACTTGATATATTGATTCATTATTATGGAACTGTGGTGTGAGTTATTGTTGTATATGATTTTTGGGAGATTTTTACTAGTGAATATTTTGATGTCATTGTGATTAATTTGAAGTTTGAGAAAATGTGGGTTTTAGCGTATTTTGAATAATACGAACTCTTTATTGGATTTTGATAACACAAAGAAAATTAATATTTTCATAAGTGGGTGAGCACCCGGGAGATATCTGTGGTGTCGATTTTCCACATCCGGATAAATGTGGAGGATGATTAGGGCTACTACTACTCAAATTGGTTTGGTTGATTTGGTTTGAGACTTTGAGTTGATTTTGATTAATGGAGGGTCGGTAACCACCCCGACATTTGGACATTAGATTCCACTTTGGTAGTAGTAGTAGTTCATGATCCATTATTAAATCTTGTGGGTGGGGTAGTTGGTAGAAAAATCCCGGCTACCCGGGGCGACTTACTAACCTGAAGGGCTTGGAATCCCTTTAAGGGGTGTGCACACTTAAGGTAGTTGTTCCGATTCCGACTTTTGTGGTTGATGGAGACCGGAATTTCCGGGGTAAGTTCGTAAACAACAACGGCTTATTGGGCTAGGTAACCCCGAGTACCGTCCATCTTAAAAAGAACTAGGGCTTTAGTCAAAAATATTTTGGAGAAAATTCCATAATTGGAAGTGTTGAATTTTATTACCCATGCTTTAGATTTTATTTCCGGTTTTTGTTGGACTTGAGATGTTTTGGATTATTTGATTGGATATATTGGATTTGAGGTGAACTTGAATTATGAGATTGATTGGAATTTTTGTATTATTTGATTGGGTTATATGTGGGTTGAATTTGAGTTGGATTGAATAATTAAATTATTTGTGGATTTTCCCAAGTACAAATACTTTTGGATTTGATTTGGTTTGATTATGATGAATATTGTTTATAAGTATTTATAAGTATTTTGAGATAAATATTTGGTGTTTGATTTATGATTGGAATTATTTGTAATGATTTTTGTGATTTTATATTTGGTATTTTGCAATTATTGTGGTTTGGAAATATTTACTTATATTTGAAGTACTATTATTTTGCTAGTGAATTATGTTTTACTTGTGATTGATATAAATTGTTTTAAAAAGATTTTTCCTCCTAAATGTTTTTTTAAATATTAAATTATATTATTTTATGGGGTTAGGTGGAACTTACTTAGCATTGTTGCTAATTTTTTTTTCTGTACTTGATTTTGTACAGGTAATGCTTTGCTGATGATGTTGATTTCGTGAGAGATTCCGCTAGAGAAAATGTAATTAGTAGATAACATTGTAGTTTAATTTAATTTTCAAGACACTTATTGAGTTTAATTGTTTCTGTGGTGATTAGCATGTGCACTCGGTTAAGGGAGAACCGAGTGTGGCGGTAACACCCGATTTCCCTTTTGGTTTTCCGCTACATAACTATGATGTTTTCAAATAAAGTTGATATTTCTTTTGAATAAAGTATTATTTTTGGGTGGGAAATTTGGGGGTGTTACAGGGTTAGACCCCAACCTCTCATTTGGAGCGCAAACGTAATTAAAATCACCTATAACTAACCACGGTTCCGTAAACCGGCACCCTAAATTAGCAAGATATTCCCATAAAGATTTGCGCTCCAGAACAGTATAGAGCGGATAAACAAAAGGAGTTTTTGCCATTTCTGGTCTGCCGACTATTATGTCAATGACATTTTTGGTACTCGATTTCTAATTTTTCCTTTTTTAGTCCTCTACTATTGTGCTAGAGACACTTTTAATCACCGACTTCAAGGTTTCCCACATTTAGTTCCTGAGTATTGTCAGATTGACACTTTTAATCCTTCCATTGTGATTTTGACACAAAATTTGGAGGACTAAAAATGTCACTATTATAATAGTTGAAAGACCAAAACTGTCACTTTAATGAAAGTTGAAGGACTAAATATGAAAAATTTCAAAGACGAGTACCAAAAGTGTCTCTAACGCAAAAGTCAGGGACTAAAAATGGAAAAAAGTAAAATCGAGTACCAAAAGTGTCAATGACATAATAGTCGGAGGACCAAAAGTGGAAAAAACTCTAAACAAAAGTGACCAAGAAGGTGGTTTGTGTGATACGGCACACACACTCGACATGTATATGTTGCCTATTAACCTCACGCGCCACACAAGATAGGACACCCGGGTTCCACATAACCACCATTCGGCCACCAACAATAAAATCATGATTAGTTTCGAATAGCCAACCGGGCCATTTATTGGAAACAAAATTTGAAACTTTATCCTTAGTCGTTTTTGTTTCCAAAAAACCACACAAAGAAATCTTATTTAATTTAATAAAATTCCTAACTATATTATGCTTAGAGGATTTTTTAATCCTCTAACATTCCATGAAGCCACATTAATCATAATAATAGTATTAAAATCGGGAGCAAACCTCAAGCAGATCAAGAGAGATATAGGTCCGAAGAGTAATGTTCATCTTCGGGGTCTATTCCCCCTTTATCCTTCCCTGCCTTGCCAGCTCTTTTCCTCATTTCTTTTAAATACTTCGTGTTCCTGTTTTGGTTAGGGTCAAAAAAAGAACCTCTTAACTACAAATGAACTGCACTGTTAGTGAGTGGCCAAATGTGAGCAAGATAAGTGGATTATGTAGGGGTGGGCATAAAAACCGCACCGAACCGGTACCGAACCGGCCCGTAATGGTACCGAACCGAATATCGGGTATTTAAATGGTTCTATAAAATTTTATCCCGAACCGAAACCGTACCGTTTCAAACGGGTACGGGACCGGTCCTAGATTTTGAGAACCGAAAAATACCGGACCGAACCGTTCAAAAGCAATGTCTTTGAGAATTTTTTATATTTTTCCATACCCATAAATATCTTTTATAGATCTACAACTTTATAGCCCAAATATGTATTCATGCATCTCGGCCTAAAATAGCTAAGTGTGTGTTATATAAATATTATTATGTTTCCTTTGAGATAATTAATTTATGTTATATTTGGTATATAATGAAGGAATGTCAAAGTTTTAAAAAACATTAATGACTATTAATTTCTAGTAATGTAGTGTATATGACTTTTGTTGTATCATATTTGTGTAGTTTTATAACTCAATTAATATGGTTTGAATCATAGCTCTTACGGTTCAACTATGAACTACTCCGTATATTAGAATTAATATTCAACTTAGAACAAAGAAGAACATTAAATATTTGTATTCTGTTCAATAATTTAACGATATTCTTTCTATATGTTTCCGTGAATTTAATAAAGATGATATTATACGATTGTATATTGTCATTTTGCTATACTTTTACTAAATTCCTTTCACTGTTTGAGTGTTTTTGAATTTAAATACAAAAATGTCAACCTCTTGAATCTTTTTTAGTATTTAGTATGCACTTTCTTGTATTTTTATCAAAATTTCACGTCAATTGGCCCGTGTGAAGATATCTACTAATTGCAAAATTTGTTCAAATGTTTCGGCGTGTGTTTGGCATTGTACTGAACCGTTTTGTACCGTTCCGAAACGACATGGTACCGAATGGTTCTATCCTTAGAACCGGACCGTACCGAACCGTTAAAAACCTCACGGATACATTATGGGTTTTGCTAATTTACCGGACCGTTCCGGACCGGGCCCACCCCTACGATCACGTGTTCAATTCACACTTCAGAAGGCTGAGTGTCGAATTGGTCCTTTTCCCTTTTCATTGTCAATTGGTCAAATATCCTCCTCGCCCAGTCGCGCCCTAGTTTCCGTGCTCTAACATCATCTACACATATGTATGGACTGGGGAATTAAGAGAGACTATTGCTATTCGTGATTCCTTAGATGCCCAAGATCTGGGTAGAGATACTATCGATTCAAAAGTAGGAAATAATGGTGCTGCCACTTTTGAAGCTCGGCACGCTCGCGTTGAAGACTCTGAGTAAACCCATTGCCGTTCGGCTAAAGACGGAAGCCGGGCGACACCCCAAGTTCCGCACTTTCATCATCAGCATGGCTCAGGTAGTTCGATTTGTATGTAAATATCTTTACATATGCGTGCTTTTCATTCATTTTTATTGGTATAGGTTATGCGAATACTGATAGCTAATATGAATGATTCATTGATTCATCATGATCACAATTTTTTTAAAGATGCTTGTAGAGTTGTAGTCGTAGATGGATGGTCTCGAAATCACAGGCGGAGCCAAAAAACAACTGAGGGGTCGAAATTCAACTTTATACATAAGAAAAACGGTAGATCATTTTTAGACAATACCCGAATTGAATGTAGTTTAGATAAATGTTAGTCCAAATGACACTAATAGAGTTATATATTTGATACATACGTCAAATATATTACAAACTTGTTTTTATACTGGTTTAGTCAACATGTATCTGCACCGGTGGCTGCCTCGGATGAGACGCTTTGCCCTACCTAGAACTCTATAATTTATCTCTCACCCTGTTTAATGTCAACATTTCTTACTAGAAAAGAATCGGTTATTGAGTAGGCACTCATAACTGTAAGATAGGTTATCTTTGCTAAGTTCTCGAGTCCTGTCACCTAAGTAATCGGTGAATTACACGTTATTTTTAAAATTTGAGAATATAATCAATATTACGCATCAAATTATACTAATATTAAGTTTAGATTGTGCTGATTTTCCAGATGTCACAACGTTTTACTCGTAATGAGTTACGAGATCCATAATTTATCAAATGGAAGGTATTTCAGATTTCTATACTCTCAAACTTTCAGGAGGGTCCAAGGTAGTCAAAAGTGAGCGCCTGGGCGCTTAAGCGCACCAGCCGCAGCGCAAATGAGGTTTAGCGACTGAAGAATGCCCAGGCGCAACTCCCTGTCTAAAGCGCAGTTTAGGCGCAGAAGCGCTGAAGCGCATAGCATGGGAAAAGCGCACGCTTAAGTCGCCTGGGCTGGGAAAGGCTTATCAGCGCCTATTTTTTGTTTGATCCTTTTTTTAAATAATAAGCCCATACTTATAATAAGATTTAGCCCGTCCAAATAATAGGTAAAAAAACTTAAACCCATATTAAACCCTTCTTAGTCGTGGGAAAAGTCTTTTATCTTGAGTCTTGACTTCATCGTGAATCTCCTGCGCTGCTATATGCTCTACTTGCACAACATGCTCAGCACTGAAACACATTCAACGAACCCACAGAATCCAGAAACTCATAAGGTGTCTTCTTCTTCTTCATCTTCTCATGTTCCTTCTTTCTTTTTTAGCTTGTAGTTTTCATTTATTATGTCATCTTCTTGGGGATCCTTTCATTTTATTCTTTCGGTCTATCTTTTTTCTTTACATTTATCAGTTCCAGCATCTATGTATACTTTATAGTTCTTTTTGCTTCTAATATATTCTATACAACTCAAACATATTATATGTACCTGACTACCAGTTTACATTATCTGTACTCTATATTATTTTATCTTATTATACACTCTATAACTCTGTATCTTCCTATTATCATTTCATATTTTAACTGTATAAAAACTTCATATAATCTAACTCAGTTAATAGTTTCATACACTATAATTTATGCTATCCCTAGTGCTGAAATTGCAAAATCAACAGACAGACCCCGCTTTTTTTTGTGAACAATGACTTTAGTTTGGTGAATCATGACTTTATGTTTTAGAAACATGACTTTTTGATGCATTTAGTTCAATATGATGTTGAATATGTCATATTGAATCACTCTAGAATAGTATACATAATATTTTCTGAATAGTGCGCTTGACCCGAGTCAGGCGAGCGCTTTTTTGCGTCTTGCGCCTCAGGCGCTGGAAGGCCCCTAGCGCTTCAAGTGCGCCTTTCGATTTTGACTACCTTGGGAGGGTCGGTTGATCACCCTGACCCCCTGGCTCTGCCCTTGCTCGGAAGATTATCGACTGTAGTTGAATTGATTGAAGTAAATCTATTTAATAGGGTCTGGAATTTGTGGTCAGAAAATTGCCGAACTGAAATTTGTCACAAAAAAGTTCTTAAGTGGACTAAGATTTCTTTTTTTGGGGAGGCTCTTTCAAAAATTAAAACAATACCATTTATTATCTCATCTGTTCTCAAATAAGTGTCAGACTTATTTGAAGAAGCTCATTTGTGGAAATGAATCACTAATGCCTTTTCTTAATATTCAAAAAGCACTTATTTGGAGCATTCAGTTTTTATCTAAAGCCACACTTGGATTGAAAAGGAAGGAGTAGCAAAAAAATTGCAAGGTTAAATATATTTTAGGAAAGGAGAAATCGAATTAGTTTTGGGCTAAAATTTAGATAATCAGAAATGCTATCTTACTGAATCATTGGGCTGTTTAGTGATTTTTTTCTAAGCATAAGTGCCTAACTTTTCTAATGCTCATATGGCATATCCATTAATGTTGCAACAACAACAACATCCAAGCTTTAATCCCAAATAATTTTGAGTTGATTAACATGAATCGATGAAATAAGATGAAACAAAGATAAAATAAGATGAAATGAATAAGATAAAGATAAATATAAGACAAAAATAACATAAGAACATAAGAAAGATAAAAAGATTAAAGAACATTAGAAAGATAAAAGATAAAAGTAACATAAGAACATAGAAGATAAAAGAAAAAAAGAGAAAAAAGAGAAAGAGATCAACACGAATATGCGCCCTTTACTTTACTCTCTCCAAAGCCATACTCTCATCCAACCCAAGAAGAATCATATTAGCTTTGATTCCTCTAATCGACTACTCCAAGTTTGTTTAGGTCTTCCTCTCCTTTTCTTCTCTGCCTCTTCTCTTAACCCCTAGACTCGTCTAACAGGTGCATCACTCGGTCTTTATTTTCTATTCTATCTCCGAAATAATGAACCACCACAATTGAAACTCCTGTATCTTATCTTCTATAGGTGCTACTCCCACCTTTGTCAGATTATCTCCTTCCTGAAGAAGTGATATGTCCACACATCCAACGCAACATACGCATCTCTGCCACACTCATTTTTTGAATGTTACATTGTTTCACCGCCCAACACTCTAAGACATATATTAATGTAGGCCTAACTGCTGCCCGATAAGATTCACCCTTCAATCTAGTCGGCAAACCTCGATCACATAGAAATCCTGATATACTCTTCCATTTCATCCACCTTGCTTCGATTCTATGGGATACATCTCTATCTAATTCACCATCCTTCTAAATTATGGAGCGCAATTAATGAAACATATCACACAACTTGGTATCTCCTTGCTCTCAAGGGTAATCCCACTGTTACCACTACTTCTACCTCCACCAAACTTGCACTCCATATACTCAGTCTTTCTTTGACTCAATCTGAAACCCTTGGTCACCAATGTCTATCGCCATAATTCTAACTTTGCTTTAACACATGATTGCGTCTCATCAATCATATGATATCATTGAAAAACATCATGCGGTACAGTATATCATCTTGAGTTGACTTCATAATTTCATCCATGACTATAACAAATAAGAAATGACTTAGAGCCAATCCTTGGTGGACTAGTAATATGCAACTCTGCAGTCCTCCCTACACTAGTATGAAAACGTGTAGTAGAAGCCTCATACATATCCATGATGATACTGATATACTAATGTGATATGCCTTTTCTAGTTAAGGCCCACCAAAAGACTTCTCGAGGTTAATGAACACTAAATGGAGATCCTTGTTAGTGTCTCTATACTTATCCACTTCTCTAAGAAGGTGAATGACCTCAGTTATGAATGACCTAAGCATAAAACCAAATAGATTTATAATGATAAAAAACTTAATGATTATTAAGCACTTTTAAGTTTGTAAGTAGTAGTGCTTGAGTACTAACTACAATTACAAATTATATAATATTTTGACTAATTAAATCAAAATACTAATCAAATGTATTTTTTATTTTTTTAAATTCATTCAATAGAAGAAGCAGGTTGGAGCATAAGAGGTTAAGGGAGTGTTTGCAACAACTTAAAAAAAGCACTTCTCAGCTTTTGGCTTAAAAAAACACTTATTTACCAAACACTACCAAATTTACTTTTTCTCGGCTTGCGTGTGAAAAATGCTTTTCCCTTTTCTATTACACAAAAAGCACTTATTTTACCAAACACTACCAACTTTTACTTTTCAAAATCACTTTTTTCTCAAACACTATCGACTTTTACTACTAACCACTTTTTCCTTACATCTCCAAAAGTGCTTTTTTTTAAGCAGAAGCAGTTGCAAACACTTCCTAAATGACTTGGTTTTTACTTAGTACTTCCTCCGTTCTTAAATAATCGCAACACATTCCTTTTTGGGCAGTTCTAAATTAATTGCAACCTTTCCATTTTGGGTAAAAAGTAACATGGAAAGTGACTTTAATACCCTCAACTTACTTACCCCCACTCACTACTCCCAGTTCTCTTACTCCATATCTATCTTCTTCTTCTCCGGCTTTCCTCCGAGGCTAGCTCCATCAATCAAGTTTCTTCTTCCGTTTATTACCACAATCTCTTCTCCTTTCCCCCCTCATCATTTCCTTCCTTTCTACATCAATACTTTACTTTTTTGTTTCGTGTTCGAAAAACAGAGATCTGGTCTTATAAGGTTTGAACGACGAAGCTAGACACAAATCTTTTTGTTTCTCTTGGTCTCCCTAAAGATATGACCATCAAGTTCATCATTGAATCAACCATATCCACATGATAATCTTTTTCTTGAGACTTTTTTGTCAAAGCAATTTATGGAGAAAGAGGATTCCACAAGAAATAATTTATTTTTCTATTTTTATGTTTTTTTTCAGCTAACCACTTTCATCTAATAATCTGGTGATAAATTAATGTTTTATCCATGTTCTTCGTATCTTAACGATCTATGATTGATTTTAGTTTCTAATTCTAGGTTTTATTTTCTTCTCGTTATTCGTTTGAGATTTATGGTTTATGAATTTTTGTTTTAAGTTTCTCTGGTAATTTTTTTACTCAACACAAATAATTGAAGGTGTTGATTATTTTTATTTTTATGAATCAAAGGATAAGCGATG